TGACCTCACTTAAAAGTCTCCTGACCTTTGCTGTTGTTGGTATTGCTCTGTTAAAATGTAATTTAATTCTTTTTCTTTAGTCTGGAAATAGCACTGTACAGACAGCAAACATGATAGGTGCTTGGGTTTTTTCCCCCCTAACCTAGAGACGAGAGGTAAAAATATCCATCATCACAGTTGGCTTAAAACCAAATGATGTCAAGAAGTGTATGACGTACAGCGGCCCAGACCCTCTGCTGAAGTGGACCTGTTGGGTTGCACCAATTTCATGCTTCACATCGGAGCTAAGCCCACTGGCATCTGCAGAGGATCTGGTTGGTTTCTCAGCACTTTCTTGTAAAGATATATACCTGCTTGGTAAGGTAAATAACCAGAAGGGCCTTGTTCTGATGCTCTCACTCCAGTGAGGAAGAGCATCCTACTCAATATTTTAGTCATAGGATCGAGTGGTCTCCCTGGATTCACAGCATCACTGAGATGTTGGTATCTCTTTGGTAATATCACGTTATAACATTTCCAGGATAGAGACCTTTAGCTAAGGCCTTGTATATATTCCACATAATCCCAGAAAACCAAGTAGATCAAAACCTACAACAAAGTAGTGAACTGTTTTCAAACAGCTACTACCAAAATGGAAGGAGACTGATTTTTCTCGTGACAGTGGGTGTTAGACGAGCCAGCCACATGCTTTTGGGTTACAGCTGGATTATCCATCACAGGATCTTTGTGAGCCTGGTTTGAATCATATTATAACCCTGTAACGCAAGTACTTTTGCAAAAGCAAACTCACATCATTATCTGTTGTTTTACTATTATTATGTCTTTGCATTACTGCTGTACATGGGTATTACATTGCATTAGTGATGCAGATGCACACATCTGTACTCACACCCATACATTTGCACAGGATTATGGCTAAAATTCCTGATCCTACTTATAAAAACCCCTATAAATCCTGGATAGCTCCCTTTAAATCAGCAGCATTATCCTACTGTAAATCTGGGGTGTAAATCAGAGCACACTCTGGCTCAGATGCTTGTCAGCCACACACCGTAATGGAGTGGCGAGGCTAAAGGCAAACCCTGGGCTCCGTACGCATCAGTTCCCCCCAAAACCCATCCCCATTGCATCATGCCCTGCTCAGCCCCACACCCCATCACAGGGGCTGAGCCCCACTTCTCAAAGTACCAGCCCAGCTCTTCTATCAAGAAGCTCTCTGAAACAGATTAAGAGCTGGCTTTGGCAGCACTGCCGCCGCCACGTGCTTAAATATTGCTCACAGCTGAGTTATTTCTTGCTTCTTAGGAACTTTAAATGGCTTTTATGCTCAGTGAACTCATGAAAGGCTAGTATCTAAAGTCAGCAGCACTGAAACGATGAATTAGCCAAAGGAGAAACAGGCCAGTTAGGCATTTCTTACAATACATTATCTAGATGGTTGCCAGAGGAGCTGATTTAAAGTCACTGTGCTGCACCTGAATGTCATTTATGGCTCATAAAAGGAAATCTGTGTTTAAGTAACAATAAAGCAGGACTACACTTTCTATAAAAAAAAAAAAAATCCTTTCTCACAGAGCAGATGTATTTTTATTTGCTCAGTGCCTGCCTCCGAGGCAGGTGGAGTCTGACAGCGCTGGGATGCTTTCAGCGATAAAGTCCAGGAGTTAAGCAGGAGGACTTGCTCCAGCATGGGTTATGTTCGATTTTTACTCATTTTTCCACCGAGGCCTTTACGTAGTGAATTTGACCTCCTTGCAAAGGCAAGACCTGAACACCTATGTACATCTGTACCTGTCAGAGGAACAAGGGAGATCCCTGGGCGCAGGCAGCCAGCCCACCAGTCCTGCCCCAAAGCCACAGCCCTGCAGTGGGAAGAAGCAGGGAGCCTTCATAACACCCCCCAGCTCCAGGGTGAGGACATTTGCCCAAACAAGGTGACAGCAGCCATCGCATCAATCACTGTAAGTCACAGACACATCTGAGGACATGTATTTTCACTCACCTGTTATCTGCTGATAAATTCCCTCATATCAGACTCCAAGGGGTCCAAACCCACTTTTTCGGTCTTACTGCAAATACCAGCTAGGGTACTGTGTCACACAGAGCCATGAGGAAAGCCTCCTAGAACATATACGTATGTCTTTTCCTATTATACCTCTGCCAGAGTTTGATTTTTGAGAATTTTCTGCATGAAAACAAGTCCTAATGAAAAATATGCAACAACTGACAAACTCTATCCTTGTGTCTCTCTGCACTGTTTTGCCCTCCACTGATTTCCCACCATCTGCCCACTACCACCCTTCTCACGGAGTCACAGCCAGCTTGGGGCTGCCCGCCTCCACACAAGTAGTGCCGATCCCCGGAGAGGACCTCAGGCACCCTTCCCAGGCCCTGGTGCTGCTCCCAGGCAGAACGCTGCCTGCCAGCTCCACCTGCCCTTTCAAGAGCCCGGGAGACAAAGGTGGGTGCTCAGCCCCAAGTCTTCCCATCCGAGGAGCTGGAAAGGACCCGCGCGTGTAATGTTACAGCTGTTGACAGCAAGGGTCGCAGTCCCGACCTTTACATGCTCTCTCAATCTGACCCCGCTTTTGGAAAAGGCATCATCCCACCACAATTAATCTCCCAAAGGAAGCGGCCTGGAGACTTTTATCAGTCCAGTCTACATAGCAGGTCTGCAGGACCTCCCCGACATTCAGCATTGCCCAGGATCTCCAGAGCTGATGCCATGCTGCGAGTACCAAACTGTGGATAAGAAAAGAAGTTGTGAGCTTCTGCCAAGTCAAACCTTCAAACCAGCTACAGCATAGCATGGAAACATCATACTGAGATGGGACCTGAACTGAACTATTTATACTGCTATAAACTGAGAAATACCCTGCAGGCATACCCCAGCACATGGGAGCCGGATGCCAGAGCTGTACTCAGCACTCTTCGGGAGGACACAGCTACACATACGGATGCTGGGGCGTGGGAAGCAATACCCACTAAATCAGGAACATTAATTTCTCAGTATTAACCCACCACCTCCAATCTTAACTATGAGCATGAGGGAGCACTTTCCTTGCAGTTCAGCAGTACCTTAAGAAAGGCTTATAGGAATCTGAAAATAATCATCTCTTATAAGAAGCGTCTGCACAAAAGGCTATACTCATGTAGCAACATTGCGACAGTTATGCTGGCAGCACTTCTCCGCAACTGGCTCCTCCATTTGGGATGGACCAGTGCTTTTTCAGAAACACCAAGCACAAGGAGGGTATAGTAGACTTCGCAAAGTTGGCAAACATCTACTTTTATAAGATCATCTTTGAGAAAACAGTAATGCAACATATAGAAAGAAACAAAATACAGTCATTACAAAATTGTTTGGCTGTTGGGATCTCAGAGGGATAGCGGCATGCTGTGATTTACCAGGAATTTGAGTGTAGCCTTCACAGTAAAGCAGTTAGCACTGCGCTGGAGTTGCAAAACATGCAAACCAGCAACAGCAAGTCAGTGATGGCTGGGAGACATTGATTCAACATTAGTTACCTTGTCCTGAGACTAAAGACGACCACGATTTGCTGGCTTAAAGATCTACTTCGTACATCCCGCAGTGGCTGAATCCTGCCCCATGCTTTGGCAATACGGCATTGCAAATTCAACACAGGCCATAACAAAGAGAAGAGGAGATAAAAAGAGATTTAATGCTGTCAGGACTACTAATCCCCAAATTCCAGTGCAAGCAAACCCTGCAGAGGACTGAACCTGGATTAGTCCAAATATCCGCTCCATCTGTGTACTTCCATATTTTCCTTCTACATGTTTATTCCTAAGCTACAGAGACAGCCTTTCATCACTCCCAACAGCTTTCACCTTATAAAACCATCAGCTCTACCTTCCCAAGCAGCACAGCCTCCTGCAGACCCGCTCCTCCCACCCCGTCCCCTCTTGCCACGCACCCTGCCGTCTCACATTCCTCCATTCAATGGTCTCTGCCCACCGTCAACAAACATCAGGAAAATACAGACTGACCTGTTTGCTCCTGCACCAAACAAAGGAGAGAAGGCGGCTTTGGGATTTCTTCTTTTTGGCTTTTTTTTTTTTCTGAGGAGGAGGAAGATGACAAGTCAAATCACTGGTAGGCATAGATTTTTTTTTTTTTCCAGATCTTTATTTTACAAAAATAACTTACAAATAGAGACAACTCTCAGAAGTAAGATCATTCATTCTGTGCATAAGGATACAGCTTTGTGAAGTACAGGTGTAGGAGTTAACAACTCTTACAATACTGTTAATTTTAACATGATGGTAACTATATTACAGTACATACATTTCATGCTCCAGACATGTGGATATGACCACCACATAAAGCTATGGTCAATAAAGTGTGCCAGCCAGGGAGGATGCACCTAACAGATCATTTCCATACTGCTAATTATTGGCATCCTCTTACCTACAATAGTTTAAACCAAATGGCAATCTAACACTCGGACTACAGCACTTTGGATACACTCATCAGCAATATACTTCAAATACATGATAAAAATATATTTAACTTTCAAATTACAATTGTATAAGGTACACCAAGAGCCAGAAAATAAAGTCTTGAGCTTTTAAATACAACACACTATATATATAACATATACAAGGAGATGAGAGGGAATCTACACAGGGAAGAAAAAGCTTATCCTGGAAATGCATGTTATCTATGGTACACAATGGCTTTGTCTGCTAGAAAGTCATTTCCATTTGCATAGCATTGTCGAGAAGTCCAGACTGGGGTAGGAGGAGATCAAACACCACACACCACCAAAAGGCTTAATTTTGGTACCACTTCCATTTTGCACCTGATTCTACTCTTAAATTAAGTGTTTGCTATTTCTCTTTTGTAGGCTGGAATTCATGCCCCGTTCATAACAAGCACAGGGGAAGGGCGAGCCGGGGGGGAACAAACCAACAACACAAAAAAAAAAAAAAAAAAAAAATCAAAGAGTCAAGGAGGTTTCTTTATGGGGCTGCAGTCATTTGGCATTTTGCTCCAGAGCAGAGTACTCTGCTTCCGACACTCTGGAAGCATCAATAAGTTTAGTGAGACCAGTTTTGGCAGAGTACTTGAAAATAAAGGCTTTCATGAGCTCATATCTGTAGTTGCGGTTAATGAAGCTGTACAGGATGGGGTTGACGCAGCAATGGACTAGAGAGAAACACTGAGTGATGTGAAGAGTGGCATACAAGAAGTTCTCCATCTGACAACTGAAAGGTATGAAATGGAGGCTATAGAAGATGTCAAGCAGGACAGCTACGTGGTAGGGTAGCCAGCAGACGAGAAATACAACAACGTAGGAGAAAATTATCTTCCCATTGCTCTTCCTCTCTTGATCACTGGAGGCGGAGATGGTCTTCGCAAGGAGGAAATAGAAGAGAGCAATAATGGGAAAAGGGATAAGAAAACCCAGCACAACAGAGATGAGCTCCATGCCAATCAACCACTCTTTGAAGCTCTCCTCTGGGTAGACAGGACGGCAATAGGTTTCATTGTTGGAAGAGACAGTCTTGAGATAATAGGTGTCTGGGAGAGACGCAGAGAAGGCAAGGAGCCATACTAAGATGCAGATGCAGCGGCGGATTATCTTCTTCTTGCGATTGCTGGAATTGGTGAAATAGGCAACTGAGAGGTAGCGGTCCACACTCATGCATGCCAGGAAGAAGATGCTGCTGTACAAGTTGATGGAAAATATAAGGTGAGTTATCTTGCATGTGATTTCTCCCATGTGCCACTGGTTATGCTGGACGAGGGAGACGACCCACACCGGAAGGGTGATGACGACGCACAGATCGGCAATAGCCAAATTAAAGATGTAGAGGTGGGTTTCATAGCCGGTCATTTTGGCTTGGAGGTTGACCCATACCACAACTGAGTTGGCCACCAGCCCTATGACAAAGATGAAAATGTAGAAGAAGGACAGGGTGTACAGCAGGGCACTTTTGTTGAGCATACCGGGGCATGTTGTCGCATCAACCGTGATGCAATCACTGTTGTTGCACGTCCAGTTGATCTCTGTCAAGTTGGCCGTTTCCAGAAAATCGAGGATGGAAGCAAAATCAAGTGCGCTCATGTTCGCTCAGTTTGAAGTTCAAGTGACCTACAGGCAAAATAGGATCAAAAGAAACGACCTAAGTTAACAGAGATATTTCTGCTGCCATCTTCATACCATAAAGCACACGCAGGTCATGCTGTGTTAGTGATGTCCTACTCTCATAAGGCACTTTCCATTAAAGAGATCCATGGAGTAAAACAACCAAAACAGACACACAGCAAAGCTCATCTGGTTGACAAAAGAGGAACAGCACTAGCTTTTTGTGTGATTTTTTTTTCCTTGCAGCTCACATCTGACATCATCAGGTTGGCTGTCGTCCCTGGGTGTGAAATCCGCAAAGTACACCGTGGCCAAATAAATGTCAGGCGACTAAATCTGTCTTCTCCAGCGTAAATGATGATACTATCGCTTTCAGCAGGGGAATCTTTAAGCCATTTTATCTGCACTCCCTCAAGCATAGTAGAATTGATCTGGCTGATACACGGTACCATAAAACATTTACCACAAGCTCTGGTCAGCATCTTGTCAAGCCCAGATCCAGCTGCATTAAGCAGAAATGGGGAACTAAGGGGCTTTGTACCCTCATCCAATTTTAAATTTAAATCCTGCTCCGTCCTCCCCTCTTCCCTTCAATTCTATTTTACAAAGCATCCCCTGTGTTTAACGATTATCATGTAGCTTTGAGAAAAGGTAAAAAAAAAAAAGTCGGAGCTTGACCGCTGAGTAGATCTGCTGGGCTTAAGTTTTCTTTTTAGGAGAGCGCTTTGATTTACAAAACACTCCGCCCTCACAGCTGGCTCCACAACAACTGCTTCCTCCCCACCCTTTGGCTTTTCCACATCTACTTTTCTTGCCTCTTCAGTGCCTTCTTCCACCAGCAGGCAGAGGACAAAGCAGGGGTTCCTCGTTAACTTCCTTGCCAGCAGAAGGGTGGGCCCCAGCAGAGCCACATGGCTTATGCAAAATCCAAAGCTGGGCTGCTAATTACCGTTGTGCTTTTGGGGCAGTGTAAAAATCCTGCTTCCCCTGCTGGGATCCTCCCACCCCACAGGGCCAACTGTACCACCCACGGCAGCAGCCGGCTGCCTTGGCCCATGGCCGCCACGCTTCAGCCAAGCAAGTTTTGGAGCCTCTTGTCCCCAGGCTCCAGCTTGAGGCATGCCAAAATAAAGATGGAGAGGTGGGTTTTCAAGGGATGGACCCCATCTCATTCCCCCGTGGCTTCACTTGAGCCAGAGCATCGGGTCAGCGAGCCCACCTGTAGTCCCCACCGTGGACACTTCTAGCATCCTGAATGATGGCCACCTTGTTCTTCCACATGCCCCCAGCCCCAGCAGTGAGAGGTAACCCCTGATGCTGCCCCAGCCCCAGGGGCAACACCAGCATGAGCAAGCAGCCAGAGAGAGCAACAGGGGGAAACAACTCCCAAGGCCACCTGTATCTCTGAACATCCTCAACCCCACCACAGGACCTCTTGGTGGGGCTTACGGGAGCACGGAGGGGACAGTGAGCAGGGAAGAGCTCGGACATGCTCCTGCGCTGAACATCCTCTTCTTGCCCCCGCTCTCCGAAAAGGGACATCAGTTGACACAGCACCTCTCCATCTGCATAATTGGCTCTTCCCAAACCTCCCACCTTCCCCACCTGCCAGGGATACAGGCTACAGAAGAGAAGGGAGATAAGGGGGGAGATTACCACGGAGGACTCAAGGCACTATTGTCCCAGTGGAGGGGAAGCTGGTGGTGCTAACAATGACGGGGGCCATGCACACATCCAGGGGAGATCAAATCTCTCCACCAACAGGGCCCAAATTGGCCCCGGGAGGAGATCTAACCTATTGCTTCAAACCTGTGCAGCCTTGGAGGCTTTCATCCTGCTGGCCTGCTGAAAGACAGAGTTGAGATTCAAACCAAATTAAGTGTGGATTTTGCTACAACACTGGCTAAAGATGGAGCAGAGACAGTGGCAGCTTTCTGTCCTGGGATAGATGATCCTCCATCTCCAGCTCAGGAAAGCACAGGGTGATTTAACCCATGTTAAACTCACATTTAACCCACCCTGCCCCCCGCAGAGATGCAGGCCACCTTCAAGCTGCCTGTACCACCTGGTCGGTGCAGGCAGCAGGGATGCGCGCTGCCCAGGCGCAGCTCCCCAGGATGCTCGCTTCAGCCCAGGGCTGCAAGTGGGAGAGAGGGATGGATCTCCTGCTAGACCTCATCCAGGTTCCCACCACTACCGCTGCGTCCGCAGCACAAACACTCTTCAAGGCCTTTCAAGCGCAGCAAGAAGTGGCACCATCCCCAAGTCCCTGTATCTCAAAACCCCACAGCAACTAAAGCAAACTCCCTAAAAGCCACAGAACTCCCAGCCCTGTGGCATGGGCCACCATCTCCTGCTGGTATTTGTGGACAGTGAGGCAAGTAGAGCAGGAAGAACACCAGGCTACCCCCAAAACACCCCACAGAAGTAGCACAGGTGGGCTTGGGCATCTTCTGGGAAGGCACATGGTCCAACAAGGAGGGTGGGCTCATGCCACATCTCAAGACCCCAACTCAAGCCAACTTCCAGGACAGGGCCGTGACCACCCACTGCCAAGCCTCCAGCACATTCCCTAATGGAGAAGAAACTCACATCTGGCCGTGGGGTGTCAGATGACCAGTGCCAACAGAGAGGCAGTGAGGGCGAGCAAGGAGGCAGCAACAGGGCAGCAGAAAGCCCTTGAAGCTGGGACTCACAGCAGTGCTGGGGACACCGCGGCCACCAGCCTAGGACAGCAGCTAGCAGAGGGCGATGCCATCCTGGCTGCTCACTCGCAACCACCTGGAGATCTTACTGAACATAAACGATGCTCAGCCCGAATCTCAGCCTGCCTCCGCTCCAAGAGCAGGTCTGCTGCATGCACGTGCATCCATCTGTCCGGGGCCGCCTGCATGCCTGTGCACTTTCACGTCCCCAGTGCGGTAATAAAAATTTGAAACCGATACGGCCTCCCAGACTCAAAGCCCTGCTGGGAAGGATGGCTATATTCAGAGATTACAGCTTTACAAGGCCGGGCTCTCTATAGTCTGGGATTAGCTGCTGTAACCTGAGCTCCAATTCCCACCCAGATTAGCTGGGAGATGTAGGGGGAACCCACCAAACAAACTCAATAAAGCCACTCTGTGCTCCTAAAAAAATACCTTTAGCGCTCTCTGCAGACAGCACAATATCCTAAAAACTTGTGAAGGCAGCTGGAATTGCATTTTGTGTCCCCTACACTGAAAAGCTCTTGCAGGCCATCACCCCTTCACGCAGCAGACACGTGTGCTGTGGCCAGTCCCTGCTAGCTCGCAGGAGTTATGGCATGAAGGGAAGAAGATGCACCCGTAATCCCGCTCCAGACACCCAGAGATGTCCCTGGAGCCGATGCAGCCTGCAGGACTGCACCCTCCCCATCCCACCTCCTGCCCAGGACCCGCTGCAGGCTGTGAAAAAGTAAACAGGCATGACCATCCCTGCCTAGGAGGGGAGCCTAGCACCCTGTGGCAGCGTGCAAGCCCTCAACACCTTTGGGAACTTCTCAGCACCCCCTCTTCCACCCAGAGCATCTTGCAGCCCAGTCCTGCCTGCACTCAGACCTGCCTCTGGGCAGCTCAGGGGTGCAGGCAAAGCGGGCTTCGCCCTTCCCGAGTGCAGGAGAAAATGAGCTATGCCAGGAAAAGCCAGGACGGATGGTGGAGTTGTCACCTACACACCTTCACCTTTCCCGTATCAAGGACCAGCCTGGTTCTCCAGCACGGGAAGGTGGGCAGCACGGCCTCTTTCAGGCCATTTGGCCACTGCAAGAGGCCACCCATGCCCGCAAGGGGCTTTGCAAGACTGAACCCAGCATGTTTAAAGTCTCTTCTGCAGTTTTGAGTTGAAAAGAAAAAAAAGAACAGGGAAACAGGTGTGCCACACAGCTCTGGATCACACCTAGGCACGCAGGGGAAAGGAGCCCCCAGAAGCGAGCAGCACTCGGTACCAGGACAGTGACGGGATGTTGCAGTGGCTCAAAGCAGGTGACTCCAAAATCTCAGACCCTCCCAGCACGCCGCCAACCTCCGCTAAGGCGAGGTGTGCCAGCCCACTAACCCGGCCACGGGAAAACCAGGTGGAGTGCCAGAAGAGGAGGCTCCCCCACACACCCAAACGTGATCCCGAGAGGGGCTGGGATGCAGCCGAGGGGGGCGACGGGGAGCTGGGGCCGAGGCTGCGGCGGGGCCCCTGCTCCAGCCCCCCCCGGGGGGCGCCCCCCCACCCCCCGGGGGGGGGGGGGGAGCGGGGGGCTCCCCGCCGCCCCGGGCTCACCTCCATGCCGGCGGCACGGTGGGGACACAGCGGAGGATCCCGCGCAGCCGTCAGCTCCGAGTCCAAATTCTGTCTGGAGGC